ATCTACTGCACCATCTAGCTGCCCCAATTATTTAATTCTTAAATTATCTCTCCTTGATCTACTTTCTGGGTCAGTTGTATTTTTTTTCAATATTTTACATTTTCTTCTATTTTTTCAGTCTTTTGATTTTTTTATTATTATTGTTTTTTGGTGTTTTATGGTGTCATTAGCTTCTGTTTGACCAATTCTAATTTCCAAGAGTTATTTTCTTCAATAAGGTTTTAAACTTCTTTTCCAGGCTGTTAACTCTTATTTCCTTTCTTTTTTCCATAGTTCTCATTTGGTATGATTTTTTAACTCCTTTAACTCTTCTAGGAATTCTTGTAGACTTTTGTACAATCTGCACTTTTCTTTGAGATTTTGCTTGTAGATATTTTCAAGTCATTGTCTTGTTTTTCAGTCTTGAGCTTTCTTGCCACCATAATACCTCTTTATGATCAGCTCTTTTTTTCCCCTTGTTTTTACAGCCTACTTCTTGACTTTGGACTTTATGTTAGTGTTGGGCTCTGTTCACTTCTAGGGAGAAGGGATATCTGGCCTGGATTTCTTCTTCTTCTTCTTCTTCTTCTTCTTCTTCTTCTTCTTCTTCTTCTTCTTCTTCTTCTTCTTCTTCTTCTCCTTCTGCTGCTGCTGCTGCTGCTGTTGTTATTGAACCCTGATAGAAATGATCCTAAGAGCTATTTCTATAAACTTATTCCTAGAGTGTATCTAGCTTTTTACTTTTTTTCTATTTTAACTTAATTTTAATTTTCACATTCTCTCCCTCCACCCCTTCATTCTCCTACCCCTTGAGAAGGCAAGAAATAGGATACCCATTATACATATACATTCATACAAAATATATTTTCACATTAGCCATGTTCAAAAACAATAAGAACCCCCCCCAAAAAAAAAGATAAAGGGGAAAGATACAATTCCATTTGTATCTGAGTCCATCAGTGTTCAGTCTGAAGGTGAACAGCATTTTTTATTATGAGTCCCTGGGAATTGTGGTAGATTATTGTGTTGATCAGACTTACTAAGTCCTTCACAGTTTTTTTTCCTTACAATATTACTGTTACTGTGTAGATTGTTCTCCCAAAATGCTCACTTCACTTTGTCTCAGTTTATATAGTTCTTTTCTGGTTTTTCTCAAAGCATCCCCATCATCATTTCTTACAGCACAATATGATTCCATCACATTCATGTACTATAACTTGTTCAGTCATTCCCCAATTGATGGGAATCCCCTCAATTTCCAATTCTTTGCTACTATAAAAAGAGCTGCTATAAATGTTTTTGTATATTTGGGGCCCTTTTTCTTTTTATTTGATCTCTTTAGGATATTGCTTGGTCAAAGGTTACACACAGTTTTATAGCCCTTTGGCTATATTGCCTTCTCTTCTGCTGCTTTCACAGCTCAATTTGGGGCCTGCATTGTTTTCAGTGCTTTCAAAGTGGTGTGATCTGAAGAAAGGTCTGTTCACTGTCTTCCTGGTCTAAACTCTGCCAAGTCAGGTCTGTTGGCTTGTGTATAGTTGAGTTTCAATATACTGCTTGTGGACTCTGTCACTCAACCTAATGGGAAGTTCTGCAGGTTCAGAGCAACTGAACTGTTTTCTCTAATATTGGTTGCCCTGGTTATTCCACTGCAGTATTACATGCTGGCCTAAAAGTTGAAACTGAGTTGTTGCTCTGTCCCTAGGATCACAGCAACACAGCTAAAGTTTCTGGAATTTGTCTTGCGCTCAATACTTGTCTGAACTCCTCTCTGCTCTGGATCTGTGACCCAGAACTGCATAATGGGTGACAAAGCCACCAGATGGCACCCATTCCTGCTCCCAGTTTATGGGGCCCCTGTTTTCTCTTTCTGCCCCTCTGCTTCCTGACCTGTTGTTTATTCTCAGCTCCTTACTGCACCCTGGGTGCTGGAATGCTCCCTGCCATTGCCACCACTGCTGCAACCTCCTCCTGGCCAGCCTCTCCCCCAGTGTCCACAGACCTCTCTGTCTAGCTTCCTCAACTGCCCTGGGCCAGAAAAATGACTCACTGTGACTTTGTCTTGGCTTTCTCATTCAGAATTCTGTCTGGCACATTTTCTAAGTTGTTGGGGAGGAGGTATGCTTAGAAACTAAGGCAAAAGTGTTGACTCTTACTCTATTATCTTGGCTTTGTCCTCCACTCAATTATTGTATGACAAGAGTTCAACAAAAGGAAAATATTTTCAGTGTAATAGGAAGGCAGTTGAAACTTAGCCCCAATATTGTTACTAAGTATAAAATTGACTCCTAGGTGAGCCTACACAAATATAGCCTTGAACCCCCTACTGATCCTCCTCTACACACCTACACCCAAGTTTGTGGTATTCTCTCTTGGTTCTCCTCTTACCTGTCTGACTGTTTCTCATTCTCTTCTGCTGGATTTTCACACATGTCAAACCCACTAACCAGGTGGGACTCCCAGGGCTCTGTCCTAGGTCTTTTTCTCTTCTCCCTCTGTATTATTTCACTTGGTGATCTCATCAGGTCCCATGGATTCAATTATCATTTAAAAATGCATATGATTCTCAGATCTGGTCATCCAGTCCTAACTTGTCCCCTGACCTCCAGTCTCACATCTCCAATTGCTTTTTAGATATCTCCAAGTGGATGTTCTAGAGATATCTTGAACTCAACATGTTCCAAACTGAACAAATTATGTATTTTCCTCAAACCCTCTGTATTCCTAATTTCCCTATTACTGTGAAGGGTACCATCATCCTCTCAGTTACCGAGGATCCCACCTAGGTGTAATCCTCTACTCCTCACTTTCTCTCACCCCCCTCCCCATATCTAATCTGTTGACAAGTCTTATTAATTCTACCTTCCCAACGTATCTATATACCTCCTTCTCTCCTCTGACTCTACTGCCACCCTTTATTACCTTTAAGTGCAGACCTTTATCACCTCACTCCTGGACTATTGCAGTGGTTTTCTGGTTGGTCTCCCTGCTTCAGATCTCTCCCCACTCCAGTCCATTCTCCATTTATCTGCCAAAGTGATCTTTCTAAAGTGCAGATCTGACTGTGTCACTTTCCTATTCAATAAACTCCAGTGGCTCACCTATTACCTCCAGGATCAAATATAAAATCCTCTTTGATTTGTAAGTAACTATAATCTGTCCCCTTCCTACATCTCTAGTCTTCTTACACCTTACTCCTCTCCCCAAACTCTTTGATTCAGTGACACTAGCCCCTTGCTATTCCTCCCACAAGATACTCCAATCTCTTGACTCTATGCCTTTGGCTAGGCTGTCTATTCTCTGTCCCTCCTCATCTACACCTCCTGTCTTCCCTAGCTTCCTTCAACCCTAGTAAAATCCCACCTTCTATAAAAGCTTTTCCCAGTCACTCTTCATGCTGGTGTCTTCCCTTTGAGATAATCTCCAAGTTATCCTGCATATGTCTTGTATTATTATTTACATTTTGTTAATTTACATGTACAATTATTTACATGATATTTCCCACATTAAATTGTAAACTCCTTGACTGAAGAGAATATATCAGGCACTTGGTATACAGTAAGCACTTAATAAGTGCTTATTGATTTGTTGACTTTATGGCTCTAAGCCCTAACTGATGCATCTTCATGTCAGACCAAATCACGTGACAAATTAATTCAAAGCAAAGACATTTAATTAAAGCCAAATGCATAGTAAATGTTAAGGTAAATTGAATTAAGTAACAAAAGCATATTCAACACTCATACCTAATTGGCTGCTACCCCCAATTGTTTCCCAGGAATACTAGTCAGATTCCAAATAATTGTCCTGTCTCCCTAATACAGGAAGAAAGCCATACAACAGTTCATTCACAGAAAGGGTTTAGGCTAGCCTGCAAAGCAAGCTCTATGGTGTTACTTTCTTTTCCATCGATGCAGTAGTAGTCCTAAGAGCACTATAACCTTTTGAGAACCTGAGAGGAAGGTGTTCACTGTATTTGTCTGTTTCTCCTTTGATTACAGTGTTTCACTCCCCATGTTACCTCTGTTTGACATCTGTGCCCTCACCACAGTCTAGAGGTGACTGCTATTTCTTTGTCTCTCTCTTGTCTACCCTAGGCTGTATCTGAGCCGTTCCCTATGCAACCCTGACAGGTGACCCTGGCGATTTCCCACCTCCCATTTTAAACTATGTGCACTGGAAGTATGTCTACTCAATTCCTCAATGATAGGTCTCATGGAGTGATGTCATCATGGTATGGAGTCTACATATAGGCTCTGGGAGAAGCAGTTCAAAGAGATTTTTCTCTGAAGATTGAGGCTCTCAGCACCAAGCATTTTGGGAACATAGGGTTTATTCATAATTGTTCTCTGTACAATATATGAATTTTAAAACTTTTGCATGAGCAGAATAAATGCAACTAGAATTTGAAGAAAAACTATCAGATAGGGAGAAAATATTTATACCTTATACTTCTGATAAAGGATATCTAAGATATATAGATATATCTCCATCTATATAGGGGATAGCTAGGAGGCACAGAGGATAGATAGAGTGTCAGGCCTGGAGTCAGAAGGACTCATCTTTGTGAAAGCAAATCTGGCTTCAGACATTTAATAGTTGTGTCACCCTGGGCAAGTCACTTAACCCTGCTTGCCTCAGTTTCCTCATCTGCAAAATGAACTGGAGAAGGAAATGGCAAACCACTCCAGTATCTTTGCCAAGAAAACCCCAAATGAGGTCATGAAGAGTCAGTCATGACTGAAAAATGACTGAACAACAATAACAACAACAACAATAAAGATATCTAGAACATCAGCACAAATACACGATTAAGACATTCTAGAATGGCTAAATTGTTCTGAGTTGAGCCTGACTCAGGCCAGACCCTTGGTTTAGGTTTGATATCAGAAATAAGTGAGACACTCACACATCATTCAACAGTTAACAAAAAGAGATTTACTTAGGCATAGCATGAGAAGAATATTCAACAAGAATAGAAATTGAGAATACCTGGAGTTGATTCAGCTGAGTAAAGCTCCCTCGCTGGTGCTCTCCATCATGATTCACCAATCAAGCCTCTGAGCACCTAGGAAGTTCTCATGGTTGCTTTATACATGGGTGATAAGGGAGTAACATCAGTAATCTGACCCATTAGTCCCCTGAGCCAAACATGATTCAAAGAAGGTGTCAGGACCTTTTAAAGAGAAGTTAGCCTAACTTGCATGAGGTTGGACCCCAGAGGTGGGTGGATAGGGAGGTTAGGATATTGCTTCTACCGGATAAGAGTCAAAAGACATGAAAATTTAGTTCTCGATAAGAAATTCAAACTATCAACAACTGTATGAAAAAATTCACAAAACATTAATAATAAGAACAATGCAAATTAACATAGCTCTCAGATTTTATCTCATACCCATCAAACTTGAAAAGTCAATTAAAGACTGAAATAGTCAAGACTGGTGATTTTGGAAGGTAGTTATGCTGATACACTAATGGTAGAGCTGTGAATTAGTCTAACCATTCTGGAAAATAATTTTCACTTATGTAGGAAAAGTAATTAAATTGTTCATATCTTTTAATTCAAAAATCCCATAATCAGGCATATACCTCAAGGAAGTAAAATATAGAAGGGTCCTTTACATGCCAAAATATTTATAGCAGCACTTTTTATATGTAAGGTGTGTGTTGTTGCCCATGTAAGATATGTATATCCACCTGAGATTTAGGAGATATTGATAGATATCTCTTGCCTCTTCCTCTCCAAATTAGATTTTGATTCCTGCCTGGAAAGGAGCAGGAAAAATGGCCACAACACTAACCATTGTATTTTCCTCTGAGAGGGCAGATGTTGTTCAGTTATGTCTGACTCTTCATGACCCCATTTGGGGTTTTCTTGGCAAAGATACTAGAGTGGTTTGCCATTTCCTTCTCCAGCTCATTTTCCACATGAGGAACTAAGGTAGCAAGGTTGAATGACTTGCCCAGGGTCACACAGCTAATCTGAGGCCAGATTTGAATTTAGGAAGATGAGTCTTCCTGACTTCAGGCTAGGCATTCTAACCACTGCACCACCTAGCTGACCCAAGAGAGTGGGTACCAGACTAGAATTATATCTATCTATCGCTACTAAATATTGTTGGTCCTGATTTTTTAGGTTCAAAAACAAAAAAGTGGGTAACTTCCCTGGCCACTTTCTTAAAAGGGCCCTCATCTGACATATTTTGCACAAGAGACCATCACAAATAGTGAATAGTATATTTGTCCATTTGTCCAATCAATTAATCACCAATCAATAAATAAACATTTATTAAGTGCTTGTCATGTGCCAGGCACTGTGCTAAGTGCTGGAGATACAAAAAGAGGCAAAAAACAGCCCCTGCTCTGAATGAACTTACAATTTAATAGGGGAGACAACATGTAATCAAATCTGTATGAAGCAAGCTGTATACAGGATAAATAGTAAATAATTAACAGAAAGAAAGTACTAGAATTAAGATGGTTTGGAGATGTTCAGTAAAAGATAGGATTTTAGTTGGGACTTAAAGGAAGCACGGGAGATTAGTAGCAGAGTGGAGGAAGGAGAGCATTCCAGGCATAAGGGACAGCCAGAGAAAATGCTCAGAGCTAAGAGATGGAGTGTAAAAAGCAAATAGAAAACAGAAATCAGAGAAGTTATATGGATTAGATTATGTTAAAAATAGGCAGATTGAATGAACTTTCCCACAGGTAGTGAGATATCTCAATTCACCATAGCTCGTGAAAATTCTCCAGTCTCACCCAAGAGGAAATTCCCCAAAGTCTCTATGAAGGCAAAGAAAAAATTAGGGACCTGTTGAGGAGTTGGCTTCCTTCACATGCTTGACACTTCCAAGTCTTTCTTCTCTTTCCTTCCAGAAGTCAATCAAAATGAGAGTCTAGAACTCTGCACGTCCTCTCTTAAAGTGAGAATAAAGAATATCTCTCCTCTCAAAGATGTAGCACCAGCTCCACCCCTCACACAGTCATACAAGATGATGTCTTCATTCTCCCCACCAATTAGGAATCACTTTTTAAAATTTTTTAAAGGTTTTTTTATTTTACCCTTTGACCCAGCAATAGCACTCCTAGGGCTGTAACCCAAAGAGATCATACAAATGGGAAAAGGACCCACATGTACAAAAATATTCATAGCAGCTCTTTTTGTGGCAGCAAAGAATTGGAAATTGAGGGAATGGCCATCGATTGGGGAATGGCTGGACAAGTTGTGGTATATGAATGCAATGGAATACTATTGTGCTATAAGAAATGATGAACAGGTTGACTTCAGAAAAACCTGGAAAGACTTGTATGGTCTGATGCTAAGTGAAGTGAGCAGAACCAAGAGAACATTGTACATAATAACAGCCATGTTGTGCGATGACTAATATTGATAAACTTAACCCTTCTCAGCAATACAAGGATCTAAGACATCCCCTGAGGCCTTGTGATGGAAAATGCTATCCACATCCAAAGAAAGAACTATGGAAGCAGAATCGCTACCATTTTTTTTCTCTTCTGTTGAGTTTTGTTTACTCTTTCTAATGGTTCCTCCTATTGTTTTTAATTTTTACTTACAACTTCACTAATGTGAAAATATGTTTAATAGGAATGTAAATATATAGCTTATATGAGATTGTGTGCCGTCTTGGGGAGGGTGGTGGGGAGGAAGGGGAGAAAAATTTTAAGCTCAAAAGCATATGGAAGTGATTGTTGATAAATCAAAATAAATTAACAAAATTTAAAAAAATTTTTTTATTTAAAAAAAATTCCCCAGTTACATGTAAAAACAATTTTTAACGCTCATTTTTAAACTTTGAGTTCCAAATTCTCTCCCTTCCTTCTCCCCCTCCCCATTGAAAAGGCAAGCAGTTTGATATAGGTTACACATGTGTAGTCATGCAAAACAAATTCATAACAGTCATGTTGTGAAAGAAAACATAGACAAAAAAAACCTCAAGAAAAATAAATTTTAAAAAATGCTTCAATCTGTATTCTGACACCATCGGTTCTTTCTCTGGGAATGGATAGCATTTTTCATCATAAGTCCTTCAGAGTTGTCTTGGATCATTGTATTGCTGAGAATAGCTAACTCATTCACAGCTGATCATCTTACAATATTGCTGTTACTTTGTACACAGTACATTTTACTTTACATCAGCCCGTGCAAGTCTTTCCAGGTGTTTCTGAGAGCATAAGAATCACTTTCTACAGGCAGCATATAGTACTGCTTGGTTGAGAGTCAGGTTACATGTGTTAGCAAAAACTAGAAACAAAGTAAATATACATCAGTTGATCAAATAACTAAAAAAACAGAGTTGGGAGATAAATGTTATGGTAGATCAATGTAATAAATTATTTTTGTGTTGTAAGAAAAAATAAAAATGATGAATATAGAGAATCATTGAAAGACTGATGAACTGCTGTAAAGTGAAGTAAAGCAGAACCAGGAAAGCAATACGCACAATGGCTATAACAACATACATAGAAATAAGAATAACAGCAAAATAACTGAAACTGAATTCTGTGAAATTATAATGACCAAACCTAGCTCTAAAGAAGAGATATGAGAAAGTGCCTTCCTTCTTTCTTTGAAGAGATAGGGGATTATGAATGTGAAACGCTATAGATACACTAGGCTTTTTCAATGTGTTGCTTAGTCTCATCTAACTCCTTTTTTTTTTTTAAGGAAATTGAGGTTAAGTGACTTGCCCAGGGTCACACAGCTAGGAAGTGTCTGTGGTCAGATTTAAACTCAGGTCCTCCTGACTCCAAGGCTGGTGCTCTATCCATTGTGCCACCCAGCTGTCCCTATCTAACTCTTTTTTCCCCCTTTTTTGTTATTCTTTGTTACAAAGGATCGTTCTCCAGGAAGACAGACATACATTGGGAAATCTAATTGATATAAAAACAAAAGATGTCTATAAAAATTTATTATTAAAATATTGAAATAGTTGATATTGATGGAATGGTGGAAAGACAGGCACAGACTCTGGTGGTGGCACAGATACTGTGGTAGAGCTGTGAACTAGTCTATTCTGAAAAACAATTTTAATTTATGTAAGAATAGTCATTCAACTGTTCATATCAGAGACCTCATTACTGGTCATGTATGATGAAAAGGTAAAAAATAGAAAGAAGGGTCTCTTTCATACCCAAATATTCATAAGAGTACTTTTTGTGTTAGTAAAAACTAGAAACAAAGTAGATTATATCAAATGGGGAGTAATTGAACAGATTGTGGTATATGCACATAATGTAATTATTATCCTACAAGAAATGTAATACAAAAAATTCAGAGAAATATGGGAAGATTTACATGAATTTAGTATACAGAAAGAACAATATATGCAATAGTTAAAATAAAAACAACGTGAAAGGTGGTTGAACTGAGATTCAATACATTGATTAATCTTAGTTCTAGAGAATAAATGATGAAACGCACTTCTCTGCTGCCAGTAGAAAACTGGAGAACTAAGGGTATAGAATGTTGAATCTGATCTCAAATACATTCACCATTTATGTTGGTTTTACTTCGCTCTTTTTCTTTGTTATAAGGAAGTATTTTCTGTAAGGGGGTTTATCTTTGTTAGGGCAGCCAGGTGACACAGTGAATAGACCACCAGGCCTGCAGTTGAGAGGACCTGAATTCAAATCTGAACTCAGACACTTACTAGCTGTGTGACCCTGGACAAGTCACTTAACCCTGTTTGCCTCAGTTCTTCATCTATAAAACGGCAAACCACTCCAATATCTTTGTGAAGAAAACCCCAAATGGGGTCTGGCAAAGAGTCGGACACGACTGAAATGACTGAATGACAACAACAAACAACAAACAACACCAACAACATATCTTTGTTACAAAAGGGTACCTTCTAGAGGAAAGATTGTATAGTAAAAACAAAAAGTATACCTATAGCTTGTAAAAAATTATGGTCACCACATGTACAAAAATGTTATAGCAGGCCTTTTTGTGGTGGCAAATTAAAGAAACTGAGGGGATGCCCATCACCTGGGGAATGGCTGAACAAGTTGTGGTATATGATTGTGATGGAATACTATTGTGCTATAAGAAATGATGAGCAGGCGGA